CACACACACACACACACACACACACACACACACCCCAAGATTTGCTTACTAGTTACCAATTCTACTTTCTTTGTCCATTGGGTTGATATAACAGCATGCAAACAGGAGAAATCAGATGGGGGATGATGGGAAAAAAACCCCCGAAGAATTAGCTTCACAAAAGATAAAGGCTTATTTATGCAAAAGGAAAAGTAATTGACTTATTTTAATCTAACCTACTGGGCTCTGACCAATGATAAGTGCATTTGGAAAATGAAGACTGAACTGTGTTACTTAAGGAATTTTAAAACCACTTCTTAGTCTGTTGTTTATTTTATAGAACATTCATGTGTTAAAATATTTGTATTTTATTGCATTAAATATGTTTAGTCAAGCTTTTAATATATTTTAGATAAGTCAAGTGAGTTTGGAAAAGCTAAGTCTAGCAACAATCAAGTAAGTTCTGATTAAAGGATTTTATCATTTGAAAAATTCTATGAAAATTAAAAGACGCTACCATGAAACTGTGAAAGTGTTTATGCTATAACTCAATATGCATGGTCTCACTTTTTTCTAAATGGCTTACAAATATATGCTTACTTGAAGTATAGTTTTAAAGTACTATTCCCAATTTTTCCAGGTAATGACATGTGTTTGGTGTAATAAAAAAGGTCTCTTAGCTACAAGTGGCAATGATGGCACCATTCGAGTGTGGAATGTTACCAAGAAACAATATTCACTGCAACAGACCTGTGTATTCAACAGATTGTGAGTGTTTGCATCACTTGTATAACATTTAAGAGAATCCCAAACATGTCTCATCTTGGTTGTTAATGTAATCAAGTTGTCACTAAATTTTTTAAAACGTTTCTAATAGTATTATTAAATCTCCAATGTTTATTTTTACTTTCCAGGGTAGTAATTCAGAAAATATAATTATAAATTAACTATATTTGACTTACTCAGAGTCTACTGGCAAATAAATTTTCAATTATATAAAACAGGTTAATTTTTATTAGTTTCCAAGGATTGATTGGGAATTAGCAATAATTATGTTACTAATATCAAAATATAGCAGTTTTTATTATATTATAGCCAGTTGTAGGTATTTGTTTTCTGAGGACTTTCCTAGAGATTAGGTAAATAGAAATCAATGTATTTTGCATGATAATCAAGTGTACAATGTTTATAAAATCTGCATATCTTTGCTAACAAATTATGTACTAATTAAAATGAGAAATAGTATAAACATCATTTGGCTATTGTGCACTCTAATCTTAATGAAATCTTTCTTTTAAAGTTTGAGGTTTAGTTTTCTTTTGAATAATAAGGATTAGAATTTCATACAATCTTTTGTATTCTAGGGAAGGGGATGCTGAGGATAGCCTTGGGTCACCCAGTGATCCAAGCTTCTCTCCTGTTTCTTGGAGCATCAGTGGCAAATATCTAGCTGGGGCTTTGGAAAAGATGGTGAATATCTGGCAAGTTAATGGTAAGAGTCATACAAATGGTCAACTACTTTTTATGCCTTTTAACCTTCTAAGTCCAAACAGTGGCTTCTCTATACCTTGAAAATCATAAGCTGTTTAATAATTATCAAATCTATGTAAAATGTGATTTAAATTGGAGCAAAAAAACTCATTTCTGATTTTTTTCTTGGAATTTCAACTAACCTAGTAGTTGTAAACTAAAAATTCTTTGAGTACATTACTAAGTAATATTTGAGGAAAAATAGTGTTCACTGAATTTTAAACCTTTGGATCACTTAAATATTTCTATTTATATTTGTTTCACAGATACAAATTCTTGTTGATTTTTGTTACACTTCTCTGGAAAATAAAAAATAAAATGCCAGGCACAGTGTGCATATCTATAATCCCAGTAATTCCAGAGACTGAGGCAAGAGGATTGCAAGTTCAAGGCTAGCCTCAACAACTTAGCAAGGCCCTAACTTAATAAGACCCTGTCTCAAAATAAAATTAAAAAGGACTGGCGATGTAGTTCAACAGTAAATAGATATGGGGCTCAGTCTGTCATATCAAAAAAAAAAAAAAAGAAAATGGAAAGGAAGAAAAGAAAAAAATATATAATCCTGGGCTTATTAGTATTTTTGTTCATTTTTACATATTTGAGGAATGGCTATTGTACTTCAGTTATTTGAGGAATAGCTAGCTTTTACCCTAAATAAATTATATTAATTTGGTCAATAATTATTAGGAAAGGTCTTAGGTGTTTTGTATTTGCCACTAAATATTTCCTTTTTTTCCCTCCTATACCTGTGTAATTTTGTCTTATTAATAGTTACAGAAAACCTATTAATTTAATAATAACATAAATGAAGGATACTGTCTTCACAGACTTATTAGTAAGCTATTATGAAATTAGGAGCTGCATTGAATATATTAATAATATAAGTAATTTTTTTGTTGTTCTTGTTATTTTTCTTTAATAATTAAATAACAAATAGTTAATAATTTCCCCCTCTATAGGAGGAAAAGGATTAGTAGATATTCAACCTCATTGGGTATCTGCCCTGGCTTGGCCAGAAGAGAGTCCAGCTACAGCCTGGTCAGGAGAGTCTCCAGAATTACTGTTGGTGGGACGGATGGATGGATCTCTAGGACTGATTGAAGTTGTTGATGTGTCTACCATGCACCGTCGAGAATTGGAGCATTGCTATCGAAAGGATGGTAAATGCACTTGTGTCTAGTTGAAAAAGTTTGCCCCAAACCACATAGACTTGGTGTTTTGGCTCTTGCTTGCAAAAATGATAAGTGAATATTACTTTGGGGTTTTATTTCCTAAATTATCTACTTGGTGTTTCACTTGAATTAGTTACTAAATTGAAATATATTTCTCTTCAAACTTCTCTGCCAAAATGAGATTTAATATTATTATAATGCATATTAGTCATTCATCCTGTAAGATTCCAAAGTCTCCCTTAAAAGAAGAATTGTTCCTAGAGAAAAAAAGATAATAATCATTGGTAGAGATGAAATTGTTAACAATGAGTGAAATTGAAGAAATGGGAAAAGGTGGAAAATTCCTGGTTTGACAAGAGAAACTCAGAAGTCTGTTTCCATTTATTTTCTTACCATGTACTGTGAGTAGGTAGGCACCTTAGTAGTTTTAGTTAGTAACTTTGGGGGAGTGGTGTAATTTCAAAGCTCCAAGTGCTTGCTTACATGGTACTTCACTAACAGAGTAGAAGTTTTTCAGTAGCTCAGTGGTAGAGCACTGTCCATCATATGTGAAGCCCTGTATTCAATCCTCAGTACTACAAAAGCAAACAATACAGAATAGAAGAGGTTTTTTAAAAATTTTAATTTTTAAAAAATAGCTCATGGGGCTAAGGCTGTAGCTCAGTGGTAGAGTACTTCCCTCGTAGGTGTGAGGCCCAGGGTTCGATCCTCAGCCCCACATAAAAATAAGTAAGTAAGTAAGTAAGTAA